TGTCTACTACTACACGTGTGTCTACTACTACACGTGTGTCTACTACTACACGTGTTGTCTTACTGTCTACTACACGTGTGTCTACACGTGTGTCTAACTGTCTACTACACGTGTGTCTGTCTACACGTGTCTGTCTACTACACGTGTGTCTGTCTACTACACGTGTGTCTGTCTACTACACGTGTGTCTAACTGTCTACACGTGTGTCTACTACTACACGTGTGTCTACTACTACACGTGTCTGCCTACTACACGTGTGTCTGTCTACACGCGTGTCTACTACTACACGTGTGTGTGTCTACTACTACACGTGTGTCTAATTGGCTGTCCGCGTTTTAGTTTACCGAACTCTGCCAAATCCACTGCTGGATGAAGGTCTTCCCCCAAGCCGCCGCTTCGATCATTTGAGGTCCGGGGGTGGGGGTATGTGCGTGGAGGTGTTTGACCATACTTCACCACTCTGGCTATCGGTGCGGGATGCTGAATTCCGAAGGGGGGAGGCCTGAAGTAACAACTGGTGTCCAGTGAGACGCTGCGTGGCCGGGGAATCGAACACGGTGCGTGAAACAACGCCACCGAACTCACTCGGTTCCACGTGGAATCAATCGACGAGGGAAGCGGCGTTCGAGAGCATCTCTCGCAGCGTTGAGTGACATCGTCAACTCGCCCGTGGAGCTTCCGACTCGGCCTCGGTGTGACCTCGCTCGGTGCTGCTCCAGCGAGTCTCGGGCGTTGTGGGGTGCAGCTTGACATTGTGCAGCTTGAGAAGGTGCAGCTTGAGAAGGTGCAGCTGAGAAGGTGCAGCTTGAGATTGTGCAGCTTGAGAAGGTGCAGCTTGAGATTGTGCAGCTTGAGAATATGCAGCCTGAGGTTGTGCAGCTTGAGAAGGTGCAGCTTGAGATTGTGCAGCTTGAGAAGGTGCAGCTTGAGATTGTGCAGCTTGAGAAGGTGCAGCTTGAGATTGTGCAGCCTGAGATAGTGCAGCGTGAGATTGTGCAGCTTGAGATAGTGCAGCGTGAGAATGTGCAGCCTGAGATTGTGCAGCCTGAGATTGTGCAGCCTGAGATTGTGCAGCCTGAGATTGTGCAGCCTGAGATTGTGCAGCCTGAGATTGTGCAGCTTGAGATTGTGCAGCTTGAGAAGGTGCAGCTTGAGATTGTGCAGCTTGAGAAGGTGCAGCTTGAGATTGTGCAGCTTGAGAGGGTGCAGCTTGAGATTGTGCAGCTTGAGAGTGTGCAGCTTGAGATTGTGCAGCTTGAGATTGTGCAGCTTGAGATCGTGCAGCGTGAGATTGTGCAGCTTGAGAAGGGGCAGCTTGAGATTGTGCAGCGTGAGATTGTGCAGCTTGAGAAGGGGCAGCTTGAGATTGTGCAGCTTGAGATTGTGCAGCTTGAGATTGTGCAGCTTGAGAAGGTGCAGCCTGAGATTGTGCAGCTTGACGTATTATACCGTGCACATGGTGTATATATAGAAAAGCGAGAATTAATTTCTCACGGATAATTTTCCGGGATCGCTGCTCGGCTGCTGTAGGAGGGGGAGGCACGTGGTCTGTAGCCGCAAGCCATAGAGAGCAGAATTAAACTAAACTCAACTTTATTTTAGCAGGTAAGGCCCATTGAGCTATGTAGTTATTTTATTTCAGAAGCGACCTGGTCACAAATGATAGCCCAACGAAGTGGCTTATCACGTGGTAATCTATAGCAGCCAAATACTCTCTAAACGCGTGTTTCTAAATGTGAATTGAGGGAGAAACCGGAGGACCTGGAGAAAAATCCACGCGACCACAGGGAGAACACGCAAACTCCAAACACGCAGGCGTCATGGTCAGGACCGAACCCACGACCTCCCGTACACCAGGCGAGGTCGTTAGCAGGTCACCGCCATGGTTCCCCGAATACCGGATGTGGTTTTCTGGCTGCTGTACTTTCCGAAGCAACGATCCGAACAGACGCGGCTGACATTAAGCCCCTGCTTACAACATAACAAGATGATGTTTTAGGTTTTGGACAATATTGCTTTGCTTTCTGCTCGAAGAAAGACCTATTTTTAAAATATGTAATTTATCCTTATGATATGATTCTGACATCTTATGATAATTTTACTCTTCTTGGTTCTTTCGGTAAAGTCACGTAGAAGGGAAGTAATAAAAGAATAAAAATAAAATAAAACATAATAAAATAATTCTCACGCCGTTTCGGCCACAACGCAAGTTGCCGTCTGCAGGTGAAAACCAGGTCTGTCGAGGCGACAGCGTCTGAATGAAACATCAGCATAATTTTACTCTTTAGTACATGTTACTCTTCTCTATGTGTTTGTATTGTTTTGTGAGTGTTTTGCAGCAGTGTTATCGAAATATTTTCCTTATCTTGCTCTATAAATACAGATTATCATTATTATTGGCTTAAAGGTCAGACCGTTCTATACTTCTCTCATCATCATCATCAACCATAGTCCACTTATGGATGAAGATCTCCCCAGTGTTATTGACGAGGGCGGTGAACATGATTTTGTTTGTGCACGGTGTTGTACTGCCGGACTCCCAATAATCCTCCCTCCGATGATCCACACATTCCTGGGGGACACGTAGGCTTTCGCGACCAATATTATTCATAATCAACGTTGATTATGAATTCCTGGGGAAGCACACCTGACTAGCTCCGCCCGACTCTCTGCACCTCCACCCATCTCATTGCAGCTCTGCCTGTCTCTCCGAAGCCTCGCCTGTCTCTCTGCATCTCCGCTTATCTCTCAGCAGCTCTGCCCGTCTCTTTACAGCTCCGCTTGTCCCTGTGGTTCGCGACCACATCCATAATCAACAAGAGTGGAGATCCTAAAATTAAGGAAGTTGCGCGGATTTCAGGACCAGAAGTTCATGATCCATGATTCGGTCCCCCGACATCAACGCAGATTGATTGGACGCCTGCTCTGCTGTCCAGTGTTGCATAACAAGTTCAACAAACAGTGATTTGTTCTCACTAAAGGGCGGTTCTGCTCTTATCGAGCCTCTCAGTCTTGTGGAACAGTGTATTCCAGAAGCATTTGTTTAAGCAGGCAAACTCTGGACCGTTTTCAACTTTTCTCATCAGCCGTGTCACGCCCCTTGACGGGCAGAACGGTGGCGCAGTGGGCAACATTTGTGCCTCGCAGCCAGATGTGCCTCGGTTCAATTCCCAACTCTCTGGCCACTTTCTGCGTAGAGTTTGTATGTGCTAACCTTGTTCTCTCGAGATAGTGTGAGTACGTGTGAGACGGGTTATCTAAGTGAGGTGAGTTTGTATATGATCCCTCTTGTTCTCTCGAGATAGCGTGAGCACGTGTGTAATGGTTCGACAGACGTGCGCACACTGGTATGGAGGCAACACTTTATTTAACACAACTGCAGTACAACTGTAACACACACACTATATATAAGGTGGTGACCACCGTCCTAATCTCGTTAACACTCGAACACTCGGGTACTACTCAACGTGGCCAAGCCAGAGGAGTGCTTCTGCTTGGCCACGACGACTTGAGGCTTCTGTCTTCACGAGGTGTCTTCATCCCGCACACGAACAGCCCCGCTCTGCGTGCGGAGCCCCGCTGATATGCGCCTCGGCGTGGCAGGCCACGCCCAGGCCACGCCCGCCTTCTCGAACCCTCGAGAAGGCTCTGCTCCCCGACCACGTGACCCCCAAGGTCCCCCTGGGGCCCCTGGCCCCCACCTCGATCCGGTCACGTGTCCGGTCGTGTTCACTCAGAGTGCCACGGCCTGACACGAGCCCCTTGGCACTCGTCAACAGCCTCCACACTGCACGACCCGGCAGTGACGTCATTCGTACTGACCCGACATAGCAGTGACGTCATGCGAACAGACCCAACACGGTAGTGACGTCATATGTCACTACACGTGTGAGATGGGGTTATCTAAGTGAGGTCAGTTTGTATGTTCTCCACATTCTGCATAGGTTTCCTGCGGCTTATCCGGTTTTATTCCACAGCTAAAAAACAAGTACATTGTATCTCCGCATTGGCCAAAACAACCCAACGCAAGAAAATAATTACCTGCAAATTACTCTGTTGGGATATCGCTTTGCAACACCGCCCCCTACTGCGACATCTTGGCAGGGCCCTTGTAAGTTTTTGAGACGCGGTAAGGCAAGTGCAAGCATGATCACACCAATGTTACGGTTCCGTTACAAGGCAGTGTTTACGAACACGGTAATGAGGTTTGTTTAAATGTGTGCTTGTAAATACATCGCTGCGAGCACAATTCCTTATTGCATTTTTTTTCATGAACACAATTCGGGGCCCCACAATCTCTCTGACCTTCCTTCAGAAAAAGGACCATCGCCTGAAACGTCAGCCTTTCTTGGCAGACACTTCATCGTTAAGTCTCGAGCATCTACCACCCCTAATAGTGACATTGTCCTGCCCCCAAGCACCCCTCTCATTTATCGACAGTCAAAATGTTGTGTTTTACCCTGTGCGTGTTCTCCAATCCACGTGGTCCTCTTCCGCACTGGGTGTAATTCGAAGCGTGCGCCTCTCTCCATGCTTCTTTGGGCCACTTTTCAGTTTTTGTCGACAACTGCAGTGTTTCTAAATCCAGACGTCATAGCAAGGTGGCACTCTCCGAGTTAAACAAATCAAGGACATTGTCTAGCATTTCTGACTTTGCAGGAAGCATTGCTCGGCAGTTGCCGATGGTGGTGGTGATGAACAACAACAACCAAAGTGGCCACACATTCAGCTCTTTGAGCTGGTGGTCTGGTCAAGTCTGCGAGCATTGTACATGCAATGCGATGATGATGGTAATGATGATGTCAATTTGTAACGCGGTACCGCCGCACTGTGTTCAATCCCTTGTAGAGAGAGAGAGAGAGGACGACTCGGCGGCACGCCAGGCACGACTCCCCCTGTCGTGCCATCCCGCTCTTCGCGAGCAGCGACACACACCGCGACCGCGAGCACCCAATTCTTGTCCGCCCTGCACGATGGGATTTCTCCTCGTCTTTTCGCAGAGCGTCGCAGCCACAGTGCTTGAACGATGGGCGATGGCGCCGACGCCGGGGGATGGACGGAGCAGGCGGGCGACGAGGCGGAACTGCGGGAGGCGTGCGGCGTGTTCGGCTGCGTGGCACAGGGCGAGTGGCCGAGCCAGCTGGACGTGGCTCACATCATCGCGCTGGGGCTGGTGGCGCTGCAGCACAGGTGGCCTAAGCGGGTCGGGTCGGAGGTCGGGTCAGAGGTCGGGTCGGAGGGTTGGGGTGAAGCCCACCGATGGCAACGCACATTTTTAAAATATATTTAGTTTTTATATATATATTTTACGGTGGCACGGCAATGAACGGCAACCAGGGTGGACGGTTTCTCCAGGCCCGTGCGCGCAAAAGGAGGTTCATATGTTCTCCGGCCGTGAGCTGGACGGAGTAATGAGTAGAGGGGATGGGGGGAAGCAGAGCGAGGGGAGCGGGATATAAGAGTAGGGGATTGGAAGATGAAGAAGCAAAGAAGAGGGCGATTTTCTTTCGATGCAGTTTCTTCGGAACGTGGCGCCGGCTTCTCATTTCCTCGGTTCTCATTCGCGCGATTCGACGAGTGAATTGTGAGCGTCAGCATTGATGGTAACAGTTCGCTAATCGCAGCCAGAGTGATTGTTGTAATATTGCTGCGCCAAGAGAGACTTTGGTTGGCGTTGTGAAGCCGATCCACCCTTACTGCTGGCCGTGCACTCTCCCCCCCCCCCTCCTGCTCACCGCCTACCGACCTCAAGGCTACCCAATCAGCCCAACTCTGTGTTGGGGGCGGGGGGTGGTGGCAGAGCTTCAATAGAGAGATAGGCATGGTCTATAGAAGACGGGCGGGTCCTGAAAAGGATAGGTGTGGGGCCGAAATAGGGAATAGATGATGGGGCCTATTCTGGAGGGGTACGGCCTAACGAGTAAGGGGGCGGACCATGAAGAGGAAGGAGGCGGGGCATAAGAAAGAAAGGGCGGAGCCTCCAGAGGCTAAACGTCCCTGTTGAATGGAGGTAATAAAATAATACAAATACGCACAACAGGCAGCGTAGTCTAGTCAGTCCCTCCAGAAAAACGCGGAGTTTTTTGGTGATTGTTGCGGGCAAAAATCGTTGATTATGCGGCACGTTTTCTTAAAAAATGCGATGGAATATGCGGGATATTTATGCAATTTTATGCGATTAAATTGCGGGAACTTGCAAAAACTGCGGTTTGATGAAAAAGAGAAAAAAAGTGATTCCCCCAACACCCTATTCACTAGGCTACTACTTTAATGTAAAGAGTCATTTCTTATTACTTCCTATGATAAGCAAGCATACTACATCACAGAAAGTGCTGGGAATATTTAAGTTCTCATCTTGTTTTATTTCAGACCTTAAACAGATGGCTCAAACTTACAAAACATTGAGTCGAACAAGTTCTGTAGCTTTACAAAATGAATATGCTACAACTTCTGTAAAAATGAATAAATAAAATATTAAAAAATAAAATGTGTGCTTCCTGTTTTACAGAGGTAGCTATACAAAACAGACATCTTCTGTTAAAATAAGTGTTTTCAGCGCACAGTAACGTAAGCAATACAGTAACAGTACAGTCTTACAGTAATGTAAATTTACATACTACTAACAAAAAAGTGCAATCTTACAACTGTAAAGTTGCATTAACTCCTGAATAAAACTAACTACGTAGCCTCTAACACTTCATAACGTTCCCATGGCAACAGGGGAAATGGCTGCGCTTGTGTGAAGTAAACGCAACATTTTTCAACTTTCTGCTAAGATATATGTGACTTTTTGCAACGAAAATGCGGGGATTATGAAATCATGCAAGCCCGCATATTTTGCGCGCGGAAATCTGCAATTTATGCGGCGAAAGTGCGGCGTATTTGAAAAAACGCGCCCCCCGCATAAATATGCGGACTTTGGCTGATTTTGCGTGGAATCTTGCGATCGCATAATCGCGTTTTTCTGGAGGGACTGTCTAGTGCCGCACCAGTTGTCCTATGCCGTTATGTTTGGTGGCCATGGTGACGGCTTGGGGGAAGGCCTTGGTCCAGTAGTGGATTGATCCTGGCCGATGACGAGGATGGTATTTGTTGCTTGCGACCGAATAATGCCCGAATGCGCCCGATCTCGTTATACCGAAACTTTGTTTATGGAATATATACGCGTATCGAGGTATTGCCGTACGGCACAAAAGCAATGGAGTCGTGAATCTATCTGCCCGGAATTTCTGAGAGCGAATCCCCTCGTATTATGTGCGGTGGTGCGCGGTGGGTTTCCTCCGGGTTTCCTCAGTTTCCTCCCAACGCAGAGCAAAATAATTCATTATTTAAAAAGGGGAATTGGGGCAAACGTCATGAGTGTAGCAGACCTCTCCTGAAACAAAAAAGAGTCTCAAGATAATTTTTCTGGAGGGTCCTTGTCGAGTTTGTAAGATGTTTAAATTAGTACGTATGCTTCACAATTTTCTTTTTTGGCCAGATCACTTAAGTAAAGGTCGTGTCGTACGCCCTCCTCCACCCGACACAGCCAGTAAAGTTGTCACGTGATGAACAAACGTGGCCAAGTTATTCCTGCTTCAGCAGCACCACCGGTGTGTTGTTGTTGGAGAGCGATCCACACACAATGTAACAATCCGGACGTTTCCCTGGAAGTTACAGCGAGCAGCATCATCATCATCATGATGATGATGAAGTTACAGCGAGAGTCGGCTAACACAGCATCATCATCATCATGATGATGATGATCGCTTCGAAAGGTGTTTATTTGCTGTTTGAACATCTTAACACCTGTTTTATTGCCAGAAAGGGTAAAACCTATTCTTATTTCTCATCATCATCAGGCAAGTTGCCAAAATTATGAAAATGTCCTCCAGTTGTGGGTCCTTGAATGGGCGGTGTGACATCATCACTGTGGTTCCCCCAAGGCGGCAGGATGTGGCAGGAAGTGATACCCAGACGCTAATTTCCGTCCTGCCAAGTTTGGTGGGGAGTTGTCTGTGTGCTGTGAAGAAGGTCGAGTGCCCGTACCGTCTTTGTCCTTGTAAGGCCACGCACGGCGGCGTTGTTGTTGTTGACGAACATGTTGAGCTGTCTTGTTGTTTGTGCTTCACCGCTGCCAATGGTGCAGCAGCAGCAGCATTGCCAAGTAATCTGTTTAATTAGGTGAGGAGTGATAGCACCCCTAGTGACCTAAACCCGTTTCCCTAAAATATTTATGGCTTAAAAAAAAAACTCCCACTGGATTGTTAGCGTGCGATCATGCAATGCGATTCCATGCGCGCAGAGACAAATGTTATCGGATTGCGAACCCAAATCGTGATAGTTCTCGTGGGGGGGGGGGGGTGTCAGGGTTTTTGGTCGAGGAGGTCATAACTTATGGTACCACATGCAATATAAGAGCCGGTTGTTTTTTTTAGCTTGCGGTTTGAACGGTGTCGCAGTGGTTAGGGGGTTAGGGGACTGCTTTTAGAGTCATTGCCATGGCTCACATCAGCGCTTCAGAGTAATATCTGAACCAGTGCTCACAAGCAATCATCATCAGGTACACATGAAAGAGAAAACAAACCTAGTAAACTTAGAAATGTAATGCAATACAACACAGAGAGTCGGCTAACACAACAGTCAACACCCTACCTGGTTGATTACGTTCAATCAAAGATTGCTAAATTTGAGAGAGAGAGACACACAAGCAGAGAGAGAGACACAGAGACACACAGAGAGACAAACACATAGGCACACAGAGAAACAACGCCTCTGTGTCGAGGCCTTAAATAGAGAGGGGAGGGGGGTAGAGAAATTAGCGTGTTATCTCTCTCTGCTTATGTGTCTGTCTGTGTCGCTGTGTCTGTGTTTTGTCTCTCCGTCAAATTTTGCAATCTTTGGAAGAACGTAATCAACCAGGTAGGGTGTTGACTGTTATGTTCGCCGGCTCTCTGTGTTGTGTTGTATTGCATTATATTTCTAAGTTTACTACGCTTGTTTTCTCTTTCATTTGTACCTGATGATAATTGCCTGTGTTGCAATTGAAACGTCGTATGCTATTATTTAATTTATTTTTCTTTATACGTGACTTTACCGAAAGAATCATAGAGTAATCCCCCTTGTACCTGATCGACAATCGTCATCATTTGACTCGTGTTCAAGTCAAATACGGAGCTGCTGGGGGGGGCGGTGGGGGAGCGGTGGCACAGCGGTTAGGGGCAAACCATTGAGTAAGTACGCAAAAATCTGTCAAACCTTGACCCCCCCCCTTCCCTGTCCGCACGCGGACTTTTTACACCCCCCCACCTGCGTACGTACACTTGACGCACCCCCCCCCCAAATCCTAAAGAATGGCCGATATTTAATCCACGCAGAAACGATCAAGGATGAATAATATTGACGTATTGAAGCAAATAGATAGTCTACCGTCGGACTATCTAACTCATTTGAAGGCCAATGTAGACAAATTATTATCGAGGCTTCACCCCCCCCCCTTTCCTATGCGTACATTGTCAGTAGACCCCCCCATATGCAAGCGAATGCATTTGGGTTAACCCCCCCCTCCCCTTGCATGCGTACGCACTGAATGGATGGCCCCTAATCTCGCTGCGTTATAAAACAGTGGCTCGGGGCGATATCTGATCCGCTGCTCGGTCACGCCTGCCCTTCAACTCGCGTCGACCAGCGTGGTGAAGTATGGTCGATGGCACAAACTCCCCAACAGACAGCGCTCAGTGAGGCTCTCGTCATTCGGCAGTGGATTCACAGAAGGTGGTGGCATTTAACGCAACAATCTCTGTTGTTGTTAGGCAACGTCGTGGTCTTTATGCCAAAAGGTGGAGGAGGTAATGTCAAGAATTTTGGCATAAAAATACTGCATGGCCTAATCCAAAAGCAAATACGGATCAGAGGGCTGGATCATTATAAGAATAACATCGGTACATCACAGGCAATGTGTCGCTCATCTCCCGAGCCCCTTCAATTCACCTCTCGTCCCCCAAATGCGCCCTCCGCATCATCGTGATATGTTAGAACTTGCCGCTTGAAGAGGGATCGTTGCCTGGAAAATCCCGTCCCAATGAGGCCTCAATCCTGCAGTGGATTGACAAAGGGCTGCGCGCGTTTGCTTGTGACACTGGATTTCTTGGCAGACTCCGGAGTTCGCATCCCCCCACCCCCCTCCGCACCTCGGATTAGCACGGTTGTGT